ATAACTGTGTGTGTGCCACAGCCCAACTGTGTGTGTGGCACAGCCCACAGCTGAGCCTGTCTGGCATGGGGTGGGTGAGGCAGAGCATCCCCAGGGCAGGAGGGAGAATTTGGGGCACTGACCTAACCCCAACCCTTGTCACAGCACTGTCCTTGGCCTGAGCTCCTCAGAGGGACAAAGAAGAGGCTTCAATTTCTTTGCCCAGCACCTTCCTCTCTGTCTCTCACAGCTTAATGCATCCAACCTGCTCCTTCCCTGGGTTTTCCCTCCTGGCTGCTGGGAGCTGGGAGGGAGCAGGTGACTGGGAGAGGGGAAGACAAAGGTGCCCTGTGGAGCAGAACCATTGGAGGGGGAAAAATGAGACGAGCTGGAAGCTTTTCAGGGCACAGAGGCTGTGAAAGGGCCAATGGGGCTGTGTTTGTGCCCTGTAATTAACACTCCACAACTGGATGGGCCAGAAATTGGAGGAGCTCTGGGGACTGGCAGCAATGGGACAGTGCTGGAGCTCAGCAGGAGCTGAGGCAGCTCCTAATCCTGGGCTGACTTGTGTCCCCTGTGTGGTGCTCAGGGAGTTTGCCTGTTAGCCCTGATGAGAGGCACATTCAGAAGGGTCATAGAATCATGGAATCTCCTGAGGATCCTGTGGAAAAGGATCCACAAGGATCATGGGGTCCAACTCCTGGCCCTGCACAGCCCAACCCCAACAGCCTTGGGGTCTGAGATGTGCCACGCTGTGCCTGAGAGTGTTGTCCAAACACTCCTTGAGCTCTGTCAGGCTTGGGGCTGTGACCACTGCCCTGGGGAGCTGTTCCAGTGCCCAAACACCTCTGGGGGAAGAATCTTCTGATATCCAACCTAACCCTGATCCAGTGCCCAAACACCTTCTGGGAAAAGAACCTTTTCCCAACACCCACCTAACCCTCCTGACACATCTCCAGGAGCTCCCTTGGTCTCCTGGGGGGGCTCAGTGCCCATCCTGGGGGGATTGGCTGTCCCCAGCCCTGGGCAGTGGCACACCTGGTGCCAAGTCATCCAGCCAGGCTTCTCCCTGGGGAGAGCTCCCTCCCTCCTGAACTGGGCACTGAACCAGGAGGAAGAGGAGGGACAGGCTGAGCAGGACTGGCCACACAGAAGTGGGATGCAGGGCTAGGGAACGGATAGCTTGGAGGAAACATCACTTTTCCCCTCTTGGAAATGTAATTTCTCGGCTGGCTGATTGCATCCCGTGGATGAAGCTCCAAGTCATTCATTCCATAGGCAATTTAACCCACTCTCCCCCAAACTAGCCACAGAGCCACTTGGTGAAGGGCTTTATTGGGCAAAATCAGCTCCAAGCAGGAGAGACAACTCCCACCCCATCCCCTCAGAGCAGAGCTCGCCGGGTCTTGCTCCAGGTCTCGTTCACTCTTCTGCAGGAGACTCTGGTGCTCCCTCACCGTGTCCAGGCAGGGAGCAGGGCCCAGCTGGATCTGCCAGCAAACCCCCTGCCCTGAGAGCCCTCCTGGGGAGCCACCCCCAGACCCCTCACCCCCAGTGCCGGAGCTTGGCTCCGCTCTCCCTGGTGTGTCCCTCGGGCTTTGCCGCCGCCACGGCGAGGAGGTTCTCAGGCTCCAGCACAAACATGCCATACAGGTTCCACAGCAGCATGGCCAGGAGGGGCAGGAAGGTCATGCAGAAGCCAAAGGCACGGAAGGAGCGTCCCATGGCATAGGACAGCCAGAAAATCAACCTGGAGAGGGCAGAGGGTGAGGGCTGAGCTGGGCGATGCCTTGGGACAGCACCAGCTTCACTCAGACGTTCCTAGAGACAGCTGGAGGAATCTTAAAGATCTCTTCCAAGCTAGGATTCTAGGAAGGAGGGTGTGGGATGCAGAACCCCTTCTGGCTGTGCTGAGCAGGAGTTTGCACCAAGGGACGGTGTTTGGGGGCCCAACTGCACCTCAGAGTGAAGGAGCCACTTACCGGGAGATGGCGAAGAGCCCTGTGAGCAGTGGAATGAGCTTGAGCAGCTCCTGAGGGAGGTAAGTGACCAACACAGCCATGTTGAAGAAGTAGAGGATGAAGAGGTGGATGGACTGGGAGACATAGGTGCGATGGATCTCCACCTCCCTCTGCAGCTCCCCAAAGGGCTCCAGGGCGGAGGAGCAGAGCCGGGAGATGCCGCTGACAATCATCCCTGGGGGGCAGAGAGAAGGGCTGAGTTAGCACCAGAGAGAGAGGAAAACTGCTGCTCCAGCCCCAGCTCTGCTCCCTGCAGCCCTGGTGGGGCGAAGAGCTCCCAGCCCGAGCCCAGAGCTCACCCAGCACGACGGGGAAGGTGGCGAAGGCGGCGCAGCGCAGGGTGTAGACCAGGCGGGCGCTGACGGTGGGCAGCAAAGGGGCATCGAAGGGCAGGAAGATGTAGGCCCCGTAGATGAGGCAGGGGCAGAGCAGCAGAGCTCCTGCCACCGAGGCCATGGCCTTGAGGTTGTCAGTGCCACAGTCCCTGGCGCAGGGGAACTGTGACCTCTCTTCCAGGGCCTTGGCCATGTGCCCCTCAAAGCCCAGAGGGTCTCTGTAGCGGGAGGGCACCATGGGGAGGAGAACCTGCTTGTGGTGGAGGCTGCTGGGTCTGTCCCTGGGAAGGACATGACCCTCCCTGCCCTCCTCCCGGGGCCACGGCGTGGAGTGCTGCTGCTTCTGCTTGCAGGGGCTCTGCTCGATGCACTGGGGGTCGATGGGCACGAAGACATGGGCTGCCATCACGGGCAGCCCAGGGCCTTCCTCATCCTCAGCCTCAGCCGGGGGGCAGGGGGGAACAGCTTCCTCGGGGTCCTCGCGTCCCCCCTCAGGGCTGGAGCGTCTCTTGGGCTCCACGGGCTCGGGCTGCCCACGGGTGCTGTGCTGGCACTGGTCCCACGGCAGGGTGGCATCAGGGTCCTCCGGGGGTTCAGCTGGGGCTGGTGGCACCTTGTCCAGGACCACCTTGCCCAGCTCCAGCAAGGCCACCTCCTCGGGGGGCAGCACGGGATCGGGGGCAGCCATGGGACCGCTGGGGCTGGCTGAGAGGGGATGAGGTTCCTGTGCCTTCTGCTGTCACCCTGGAGAGAGGATACA